TATACATGTATATATATATAGCGAGAATTAAATAAAAATGCAGTTTGCATATTGCTTTATTACAAAAAAAAATACATCGTAAGTTATTAGTATCAATTAATAAATTGCTGATGTTTAATTTTAAATTCCGGTACGTAACTGATTTTTGGGTGACGCTAGGGAGGTTTGATCCCATGTGAAGATCATAGTCACTATCACATTCATCTTTTAAGAGCATTTTGCGAACATTATCAAGCCGACTATTTCGGGGTAACCGCACAAAATATTCCCTTAAATCTGAGTTAATTTTATGTACTCCAACAATAATATCAATCATGTTATTTATATCATCTACGGTTTGGTCGTTTTCATTTCTGCCGCTTTTATTTTTATTTTCACTCTCATTTTTAGTTGCCATTTTTTGTTTTACTCTTAACATTAACTTTTAAAACCAATTTAAGTTAGCAAACATTACGTATTTGTGTTTATCGTTATCATTTATCGTTATGTACGTACGTATATGTATGGCGTAAACTTATCATTACTTGTGCGAGTGATACAAACCAAGAAAGGGACTGACAAACACATTTAACGTTAAGTTATTATTTAATGATCCTTTTTGGGAGCAAAGCTAATACGTACCGGCACGTACGTAAGTGGCACTGCATTATCATATGCTCTTTAACAGTTAATATACGTACGTGCGTAGATGTTTGAAAGGTTCAAAATTGAAGTCAATGGCTAACGCAAGTCCCTTAAGCTTTAATCGCGGATTAATTATCAATTCAGAAGGAATACAACTTTCTGATTTTATAACATATGAGCTTAAACCGCAACATGAAAATAATTTTATACAAAACACATCTTTTCATGCAAAATTAGTGAACTCAAAAACAAAAAAAGAAACATTTTTGTTTAAAAATCACGTTGAACTTTCTATTGATGATTTACAGCATGTTTGCCAGGTATTTAATACTGATGAGGCTATAAGTTCTGCCATGACCTTTTTAACAGATGAATCTCCTACAAATGATATCTTTTTAATGATACAATATACGAAAGCTGAATTAATTATTAAAAAAGAATCAATAAGACCGTCTGATGAATTAACTTATAAAGTAAAAGAAACTCTAAAACACCATGACTCTTATCAGAAATTAATGAATATATTTAATAGTTATGGCCATTTTTTACCAAGAAGGATAACTCTTGGCCATAAAATATATAGAATGACTTATTTGTCTGTAGACAACAATTCATTAGAATGTAACGACAAAAATAATGTCGTAAAATGGACGAGTCTTGATGATTTTTCAGAGAGTAAATTTGAAAATATCTTTAGTCGATGGGAAAAATTCATGAATTCTTATAATTTCGATTTATCTTACTTTGTATCAATCAATGGTGAATTTATTATGAAAAATAAACTCAAAGAATGGATTAAATTTTGTTTAGAGAGCGATCTTGATTTATCACAAATTATTAGCTGCAAAGAACTATATCCGTTGTACGAAATTTTCGACCTACCTCTTCGCCAAGAAATTGAAGTTGCTCTTGGAATTAATAAACAAATTGAATCTATTCTCAGAATTAATAATCAAACTGAGTCTATTAGTAGTAATGGTATTAAAGAAAGAGTCCTTATGACAGGAATAGTACCCATTAAAGATCCTCCCTATTCGTATAGCATAAATTTTCCGGTTCGTTTTAAATCCAATAACTATCAAGTTTTTGGAAAGTTTATTACACGAGATGATGTACCAATTGATGAGATTACTATCAAATTTGATTTTATGGACACATATGGATTCTTAATTTTTATGGAAAATAAGTAAGTTTTTTTTTTATTCGCTATTAATTAATTTTCAACTTAAAATAATGTATGGGTTTTTTATTTTTTAAGTGAGTTGGCATATAAAGATCCCAAAATTGTTTGGATACTAATTGGAATACCTGCTGAAATTGGATATTTTAGCACAGCTACACGAAAAATAAATGTACTAGGTTCAGGTAGTGAACCATTTGCATTAAAGCCAAATAATTACGTTGTACTAAAAGTTACAGAATATTTACCACAAGATTCAGTTATTGTTGCTTCATTTAAACATCCACCTTCAAATTATGAACCAAATTTCATAGCTGAAGTACAAAGTTATCAAGATAATAGAATTTTACTTAATATACATTGTCTTAATTATGAATCTTCTGACAGTGAAGAAAGCAGTGAAGATTACGGTGAAGACAATAGTGAAGATTACAGTGAAGAATATATTGAAGATTACAATGAAGGAAATAATGAAAATTCAAAAATTTTTCATACTAAAATGAATGAAAACATGGAATCTTCAGGTTTTTCAAAAGATGGCGTTAATGAAGAAGGTTCTAATAGCAAATATATTGATGTAAATGACAAGAAACCTGCTAGTAAGGATGCTTTAGCAGTTAGTGAAAATATTAATAACGATAAAAACAATTATGTCGAAGATAACCTTGTTACTAATAAATCTGAAGAGCATCTTGAACGCAACTATGTAGAAGACAGCAACTTTATTGATGATAGATATGAAGATTTTGATAGTAATGATATAGAAATTGCTGATTTTGGATATGATGAAAGACCTTCTGAAAAAAGCCCAAAATATTTAATGCAATGGTTTATCCTCCAAAATTCGGATACAACTAATTCATTTAAAACAATGAACTACTTGAACAAAATAGGCCAAGAAGTTCACTTAAAAACTAAATCAAGTAAGTGCAGACGTAAAATTTTTGATTTATAAAATCTTAAACAATTACTTAATAATGAATCTTGTTTCACCAAAGAGGTATTACCTTATTCAATCAAGACAACTTCAAAAAATCAACTTAATCGATATAAACGTATAGAAGAAGACAGGAGGGATTTGAGGGATTTGTATAAGACATACATCAATTATAGAAAATTAGATGATATGGAAGATTTAGACGAAATAAATAACCTTGGCTATCGTTATCTGAATGGAATTGGTGGTGATAAATATGAACACAAGGCATTGATCAATTATCAAAAATCTGCGACTATAAGGAATGCTTTCGGAACATTTAGTGCTGGTTATTGTCATCAAAGTGGAATTGGAATTGAAAAGGATGAAGATAAGGCGTTTGAATACTATAAAAAATCTGCTGAAATGGGCAATTCTTATGGAATATTTCAAGTCGGTTATTGCTATCAACATGGAATTGGAATTCAAAAGGATGAACATAAGGCATTTGAATACTATAAAAAATCTGCTGAAATGGGTGATTATGACGGAATGTTTCAAATTGGATATTGCTACCAAAATGGAATTGGTGTTGAAATGGATGAGAACGAGGCATTATCTTGCTATTGGAAATTATTTGAAGAATTTGATCCCATGGGGATGTTGGGTATCGGTAATTGCTTCCTAAATGGAATAGGTGTTCATATAGATAAACCCGAAGCGTTTAATTATTATCAAAGATCAGCAGATCAAGGAAACTCTAAAGGAATGCTTGAAGTTGGCTGTTGTTATGATAAAGGAATTGGAGTCGAAAAGGATGAAAATAAAGCATTCACCTATTATCAAAAATCTGCTGATACAGGGAATTCTATTGGAATGCTTAAAGTTGGTGACTGTTATCATAAGGAAGTGGAGTTGAGAAAGATGAAAATAAAGCATTTACTTATTACCAAAAATCTGCAGAGTCAGGGAATCTTGATGGAATATTTAAAGTTGGTTACTGTTATGATAAAGGAATGGGTATTGAGAAAAATGAAAATAAAGCATTTACATATTATCAAAAATCTGCGTGTATGGGACATAGCAGTGGAATGTATAATCTAGGCCGTTGTTATCAAAAAGGAGTTGGCGTTAAAAAGGATAATCATTTGGCTTTTACTTACTATCGAAATTCTTCTGATATGAATCATGCTGGTGGAACATGTAACCTTGGCCACTGCTATAAAGATGGCATTGGAATTGAAAAAAATGATCGCGAAGCATTCATTTGTTATAAAAAATCTTCAGAGATGGGAGACGCTAATGGGACATATAATGTTGGTTACTGTTATGATAAAGGAATTGGCGTCGAAAAAAATGAATATAAAGCATTTTTTTATTATCAAAAATCAGGAATTAGAATTGATAAGAATGAACCTGGCGCATTCAATAATGTCCAAATCGCTGCTTCCTACATCCCTTTAGTTGATTTAGTGAAAATTTTATTTGAAGATATCCTTAAAATTTATGAGAATGCAGAATGTAATATAGAACTGTGTGCTGTCATGCTGGAGCGGGTAGCAGCAGCAAAATATGCTCTAGAAAAGATGTTGAGAAAAGGCGTTGATTATATTTATGAAAAAGAATATTCTTTGTCTCTCAAACAATTTGTAGAAGTTTTGATAGAGATTGAAGAATTTACCGACCAAGTGTCAAAACTTAAGGGTGCTAGAAAATTTATTGAAACTAATAATGTCAAACAACGATTTCATAAATTGATTAAAGAATATGATACCTGTATGAAAGATTTGCATTTTTCTATGGAAATTACTAATGAAAATGAAAGGGAAGAAGAAGCTAAAAGGATTAATAAAGCCTTAGAGGTATGTATAAATATTTTGAAAGATTATAATTTTATATCAATTTTAAGAACAACTTGTCATTTGCTGATTTTAGGATCCTAAAAAAATTGATTTTGAAGTCGGAATTGCAATTGATAAATTAGAAATATCCACCATAAAAGATAAAATGTCTGTTTACATCCCTTTAGTTGATATTGTGAAAATTATATTTGAAGAAATTTATAAAGTTTATGAGAATGCAGAATGTAATAAAGAAATGTGTGCTGTCATGACTGATCGGGTAACAGCAGCAAAATATGTTCTAGAAAGATGTTGAGAAAAGCTGATGATTATCTTTTTGAAAAAGAATATTTTTTATCCCTCAAAAATTTTGTAGATGTTTTGAAAGAGATTAAAGAATTCACTGATCATATTGCAAAACTTAAAGGTCTTAGAAAATTTGTTGAAGCTGGTAAAGTCAAACAACAATTTCATAAATTGATTAAACAATATGATACCTGTATGAAAGATTTGCATTTTTCTATAATTACTAATGAAAATGAAAAAGAAGAAGAAGTTAAAAGAATTAATAAAGCCTTAGATGTATGTATAAATAATCTGAAAAATTATAATTTTATATCAATTTTAAGTACAACTTTGCATTTGCTGATTTTAGGATCTTGAAAAAATTGATTTTGAAGTCGGAATTGCAAATTCTAAACTTGATAAATTAGCTGAAGATATATCCGACATAAAAGATAAAATGCCAAAAGATAAAATATCAATGCATAAAATCAAATTAAATGTACCCCCAACTGGATCCTGTGAACGTCACAATATTATTAAGAAATCTTATAGAGGTGCAGCTGTTGCATGTAAACCAATAACGATGGATCCTTCCAAGCATCAATCCGAGTTAGCGATCCTTGAATTATTAGGTAGTTCGCCATACATTCTCAAGTTCTATGGTATTTCAAATTTTGACAATCGCGATCATATGGTTTTTGATTGGGCGGAGTACGGAAATTTAAAGGAGCTTTATGACTCCTATGATATTCCTTGGACTAGAAAATTGCAAATTATCCGTGATATCTGCCGTGGTCTTGTATTTTTGCGTGGCTTAGATATTTTACATCATGATGTTAGATGTGAAAATATTTTTGTAAGAAAATTTTGTTATTTATCATGCAAGAACCAATGTAAAGTAGCAAGATACTAATAATATTAATTTAAGATGTTTGAAGGCTTAATCCCAAAACTTGGAAATTTTAGGCATGCATGTAAAGCAGATGCACATACTAGTTATATTTCAGTTCAAAAACAGATAGAGATGTCTCGTTGGATGGCTCCCGAACAGATCAAAAGATATCAAGATTCTGTTGAACAAGATCGTGAAAAGTCTAGGTAGATCATATAAGAATATTTTTAGACATAGTGATTTTGGCCGATCATAATTTTTCGGCCATGACTAAGCCGATAAATTTTACCGGCTTAGCCGGCTTAGCCGATTTTAAAATTACACCATTTAAGGGTAGGGTGAAATGATCTACATTTCAATAGTGATCACGTTACTAAAATTTTTTACAATAATATTTCGCGAAATCTACGGACAGTGCTTAGGGACAGTGCGATCACGTGATAATAAACAGTGCGGTCACGTGATGCATAGGAC